AAGCAGTGGTGTGTTTTTGTCATGGTTATGGAGACACTTGCACATTTTTCTTTGAAGGCATGTAGTCAGAGCAAGAATTAGCATTTTTTCTGTTTGTAGTCTTGGGCTTCTTGTGATAATTGAAGCCTAATTGTTTTGTGGCATCTTTGTAGGAATTGCAAGGAAGTTGGCATCATCTGGATATGGAGTCTTTGCAATGGATTACCCAGGATTTGGTCTTTCAGAAGGTCTTCATGGCTATATTCCCAGCTTTGATAGGCTTGTTGATGATGTCGTTGAGCATTATTCCAAAGTCAAAGGTACCTTTATGCTGTTACCTTTGAATCCTTTTGCTTTATCTTCAATGGTCATGAAATTTTTTCTTGGGAGTAGAACTCCATTTGCTGATTTGTACTCTTCTTTTTTGTTAGCAATTAGATTAATTCATGTACTCAATTGTTTAATTTGTTATTGAATGAGTTTTCTTGGTAGAATCTTAACAAGATACAATTGTTTCCTCATTGGCCTGTTTTTGATGTTTATATTTGCATGATTTGCAATGTAGAGAACCCTGAGTATCGTGCTCTGCCAAGTTTCCTCTTTGGACAGTCTTTGGGTGGAGCCGTAGCGCTGAAGGTGCACCTGAAACAACCTAATGCATGGAGCGGTGCTGTGCTCGTTGCACCTATGTGCAAAGTATTTTCTTGAATCCAGTTACCCTAGACACCCTGTTAGTTATATTTTCTCATGTTAACTCAAATTTTGGTGTAGATTGCAGATGAAATGGTTCCTCCATTTTTAGTAAAACAATTGCTGATTGTTATAGCTTATCTTCTTCCAAAGCAGAAGTTGGTTCCACAAAAGAATTTGGCTGAGGCAGCATTTAGAGATTTGAGGAAGAGAGAGATGGTTTGTCTCTTCACTTAAACAGATTATTTCAAGGATTACTATTATAGCACGTGTTATTTCTGGCTTTGTAGCAAATAAAATGGTTGGAGCCATAGAATTCGTATGTCATGCTGTAACAGTCTTTTTTTTTTTCCTCTCCCTACTGCATTTTTTTAACCCTTTCTGCAATCCACTTGTCGATTATAGACTCAGTATTTTTTTCTGCTGAATGAGTGGCTCATATACTTCTGTTCTTTTCTCTGGATGCAGACATCTTATAATGTTATTGCTTACAAGGATAAACCACGCTTGCAGAGTGCTTTGGAGTTGCTCAGAACTACTCAAGAGATAGAACATCAGTTGGAAAAGGTAAGCTAATTTTGGTCTTTTACAAAATTATGTGAAATTTCATATAATTCCCCCTTTTTGGCTTGGAATGCAGTAAGCTTGCTTGCTTCTCAAACCTTTATTTCTTGGACATAGGTTATGAGGTGTTCCCTCATCTTTCTTTCAGCTAACATAGGCAATAGGGGTCGTCAGTCAACTTTTCATGAGCATGTCTAGTTAGTTGGAATTTATTATAACTTTTGAGTCACTGTTAATGAGGTCCCTCGTATGTTAGCATAACTGACAACCTCAATAGGTTTTGATTTGGTCATGAGAGAGAAAAACAGAAGTACACATTTGTCAAATACACTCCTATTAATCAATTCCTGTAAGATATATTAGAAGATTATGGCTGGTGAGAGCAATGGACAATAGTATGCAAAAAACCTGTAATATGACGCCTCATATTACTCTGTAAATGATAGAACATATTATGCCATGATTCAAGCTGCCTTCCACCAACATAATTTTTTTTGCCAAAGATCCTTGTTCAAGCTCCTTCAATAAATTTAAGCTTGATTGTCTTAATTACCTTGGTTTGATAACCTTACATTCTGATTGACTTTCAACAAACCTGCATCTTTTTTTTTCTTGGAAAATCCAAAAATGGATCCCAAATTGATGATTTGATATGAGCTTTGATCACAACGGTAACTTTGCCAATATGAGCATACTGGTGATCACTAGCTCCTATGATTTGAAGCCACATTAGTTCTTTGACCCTTGGTCCAATTATTCTTGCATTAATCTCCAGGAGAAAAAATTGTTCTGTTGTATCAAACAAAATGTGCTTATTAATATCCCTTGGAAAAACTTGTTCGATCATCTTATCAAAGAAAATGTGCTAATTAATGTTCACAGTCAATATCCCTTGGAAAAAAATTGTACTATCATCATATCAAACAAAATGCTGCAGCCTACAGTCTATAACCAACCAGAGATGGTTGAATCAGTACACATCAATAACACCACTCTAATGCTACCAATTGTGTTCATCTCTCTCTCACACACACACACACACACGCACGCACACACACACACACACACACACACACACACATATATATATATATATATATATTATTTCGTGAACAAGCTTGAGCTCATTTTTGAATAAGTTGTGTTGGGTAACTGGCATTGCAGGTGTCTCTGCCATTATTAATCTTGCATGGTGAGGCTGATATCGTGACCGACCCATCTGTGAGCAAAGCCTTGTATGAGAAAGCAAGCCATAAGGACAAGAAGTTCATTCTTTATAAGGATGCATATCATTCTCTTTTGGAGGGTGAGCCGGATGACATGATTATTAGAGTTTTTAGTGATATCATTTCTTGGCTTGATGATCACAGCAACAAAAGCACTGCCTCTTGATATCTCTCTGTCTGTCTGTCTGTCATAGCAAAAATAGAAGAAGAAAAAAAAGAAAGAAAGAGTGTTATTGAATTTGTATAGATACAACTGTCTGGTACAGTAACAGTACATTTAATAATATTCATAATTCAGTTAGATTACTTGCTTTTCATAAGCTACTTCTCTCAAATAGCATGTAATGAGAATCATGGAGCAACTAGGTCATTTTCCTGTCTTGCATGTAGCTCTCATTGGGGGAATTGGTTATTAAATATTTTGGGAAATAACATTTTCATCCTTGATGTCTCGGACAGTTTTTCTTTTGTCCAGTAGTTTTCAAAAGTGACATTTTCATCCTATACTTTTAAATTAAAACTATTTTATAGAATAGAATAATATCACTAAATTTTGGGATGACAAAGTTATTTCCCCATATAACTAGTGAAAGATCTGGCATAACAAAAGGCCAGCCCAATGTGGCTCGATTAACTTTTGGGTAGGAGGTTTTTTTATTATCTTTAATTGGAAAATGAAATTGATATTTATTTGTATTCTTGCAAGTTAGAACTAGAAAGGCCCTACCTGAGTTTTGGCCGTGTCTAATTTGTTGCAAGTGGCAAAGATAAGGGTAAAAGATAAACTGGACAAGCCGACAAGGGGATAAGGTTGCAATATCAACAGATTATGAGGGACCTTTAGTATTTTAAACTTGAGTGATACAATGTTAATACTGTATTTCCTTTTAGCTCTTTAAGTTTCAAAGGCCTTAAATTATACTTTCATTTAGTCCCACAACTTATATTGTGCTTATTAAATCCTCAGATTTCAGTTTTTTGCTTTGCACCCATGCTCCTGACCTAGCAATAAATTTTGGTTTTATAGCTTAAAAGATTTTGAAACTTAATATCATAATACCAACCCAACATTATGAAGTTATAATCAAGGTTTTAAAACTCGGCTTGGGGGGAAATCCGACAAAGTGGCCAGGTCTTGAGTTTACCGGTTGAATCGGTTTGATCGATGAGTCAATTGATGATGTCAGTATGTCCAAAGGTTTGAAATCTAACCAAAATACCCCTAAAAATTACCATAAGTCCCTAAAGGTTTGAAATCCTACAAAATAATCCCAAATTACCTTGTCGGCGTCGACAACCCAAGCCAAATAAGGCTTATTTTCGACATCGACAACACACCCTATCACCATGAAAACTCTCCTCTCAGCCTCCTGAATAAACCCATCTCACTCTACCCTCTTTTGCCTTGCCAATCGTTATTGCCACCGATCAATTTTTGCGATTTTCGATCATTTCACTAGAAATCACCTTTGTTGCCACCTTTCGACTCATCGGCCCTTCCTTTTCAAAACCCCCAACATTCCAGCCACCAATTGTTAGCCGATCATCGTCCTAATCTTTAAGGTTTTCCATGAACAGTTAAATTGGTAACCTGACCCAGAGAAGACCCTGAGTCTTGGTTGAACCAATAAAATCGATCGAGCTGAGTCGGGTTTTAAAACACTGCTTATAATATCCTAAGAGCTAATATATTACAAGACATAAAACATGAAACAAACTTGAATCTAACAATGACTTTCCCAAGAATTTTTACACGTTGTTAATCAAGTGGTTGACCATTGTCCACCCAAAAAATCTCGGAAGATTATTGCGTGACTTTAACAGATCTTTAAATTCTGTTATCACTTTTAAAAAAAGTAATGTTACACTTACATCACTCTTTTATACAATTTTTATTATATCATGATGTGACATATATCACAATCACACAAATTTTTAATTATTTTAAATTTTTAATATTATAATAAAATTTATGTGGTTATAACATATGTCATATCATAATATTTACAAAATGGTGTAAAAAAATGGTGTTAGTGTAGTATTACCTCTTTCAAAAATCCCAAAATACTAATAATTATGGAAGGAAAAACAAAATGGAGAGTGCGTCCCGCTGTAGCCAACCATGTATACTTACAAAATGGTGTAAAAAAGTGATGTTAGTATTTACAAAATGGTATTAAAAAAAAAAAATGCTATCCTTACAAAGACAATACAAAGAGAGCTTCAAAGTGACATCACTAGGAAGGAAAAAACAAAGAAAAAATGGAAAAAGAGGGAGAGAGAGAGAGAGAGAAATCATGAAGATGAAGGATGAAAATTATCTTTGTATGGCCTCTTTGTTTTTGTCTTTGTAAAAGTAATATTGCTCATAAAAAAATAGTGTTAGCGGAGGATTACCCTTTCAAAAATCCCAAAATACTAATAATTATGGAAGGAAAAACAAAATGGAGAGTGCGTCCCGCTGTAGCCAACCATGTGAATGCAATTGTAGCAATATCAAAATCCAAAGTGGAGACTCACGAACCTTTGTCTTCTACTGTTGAAGCTTTGCCTAAAACTTTCGGTGCTTAGCTTCGTTTACTTGCTGTACGAGCTAAGCTACGCTACTCAATGACGTTTCCTTCCCTTTCTCCCTTAAGTGGATGCCTGCGTGTCTTTCCTTCTTTCATCGAAATGCAATGACCCACCTCACTCAACTTCGCACTGTTTCTTTCTTTCTTCATTTTTATATTAACGGATGAAGAACCCATTATTACTATCGTTGTTGTTGGAACAATTCGTTGTGTTGCACAAAAATGGCCTTCTCTTCTTGCCTTTCTCTCCCTCTAATCTCACTCAAGGTGTGCTCTTTGTTTTTTATTTTTACTCTTTTTGAGGATTTTGTCTCAGTTTCTTGTTTTTTCATCTGGGTTTTCTTTAAATTTTGTTAATATTTTGTTCCCTGTTTGTGCTGAAATGAGTAAATTGAAGGCTATAATTAGATTTTGAGTTAAATTTTCTGATAAGATCCGAGATTGGTGGCGTCTCCTGTTTAAATCAATTTCTGTGGATTACCAAATTGGATTTTACAGTAAACTAGTTTATCATTAGAGCAGTGTCACTGTCACCAGTTATTGTTGTAAAGTAATGAGCTTTAACTATTGATTATTATAATAAAAGGTTAGGTATTTATTGTACATTTTTTGTTGCTTATAGATTGACTGTTTGAATTGAAGCAGCCTATAGGAACTTGGCGAAATGTCGGTGTCGACCAAAGATTAACTTCTCCTCTCAAAAGTATGAACACTGAACTTTTTGGCCAACAAGTTGCAGGAATTGGAAGTAATTTGCGAAGAGAATGGAGTTTCGCGAGAGGATCAAGAATTGTAGTAAGGCCACAAGTAGCAACATTCATTCATCATAAGAAGGCCTCTGGAATTCATGCTTCATGTAATCTTGTTTGTTCCTTCGACTCCTTTTAGCTCAATTCATATTCTCCAAAAGCTATATAAACTGAAAGAAATAATTCCTGAAGAACAAATCTAATTTTCAATCTCATTGGATACCTCACAAATTTGAATGAGGTGAAGAAAACTGGAACTGATATTTGTGATTGTCTGTATTTAGCCTTTGAGGAAGATGACGCTTGCTTACTAATTTGTGCTTTGTTATTTGAAATTCACCAACAGTTGTAATTTTGTTTGAAGCACTATGGAGATGTAGTGAATTTACATCTCTGAGGTATTTTGTAGGAATTCCCATGTGTCGAAAACATATTAAGATTCATGAAAATGCAAGAAATTGATTCTGTTTCCATAGAAAAATATCATACTTGGCTTATGCAAGATATTGCAGCATGGTTAAAGAATGCCCACGACTTGTTCCTACTTAGGAATCTTAACCTTTCGACTTAGTAGAACGATGGGTTGCCATTCTTTGCTGTAAAGGATTCGAAGTTGTTACCAGTGTTCTGATGTTTCATCCCCACATCTTTTTCAGGGTTGGCAAATTCTCAAATAGCTAGTAGTGTTTTTACTTTGGGAACAGTAGCTGTGCTGCCATTCTACACTCTCATGGTTTTTGCTCCTAAAGCTGAACTGGTATGTTTTCTGGGTTTATCTAGTAACTTCAATTCAATATTGTACCCTTCTCATAATTTTTTCTGTTTCTTTTTGAGTCTATTGTGAATTTGTGATTCATCTGTAACTATGACTTATTTAGAACTTCCTTAAAAATTTGTGAATTCATAATATTATTTCAGACTAGGAGCTATGCTTTACAAGCACATTGCTTTGAAATTACTTCATGATCTGGACAGTAATATAGCCTTTAAAACTTTTCAATGTCTCTTGAGTGTTGCATGTAATTGGTTTGTTTAACTGATAAATGCAGACGAAGAAGTCGATGGAAAGTGGCATACCATACGTTGTACTCGGTCTTCTGTATGCATATCTATTATACCTCTCCTGGACACCCGATACACTACGGACGATGTTTGCTAGTAAATACTGGCTTCCTGAGGTATGCATTAGTGAATGCACACAGATACAATCTATAATTAACAGAAACGAAACTTCCCAGATGTTAAATGAATGAATCATTCAATCGTTTACTTTGTCAATGCACTAAATGCAGCTACCTGGCATCGCAAAGATGTTCTCCAGCGAGATGACTTTAGCTTCTGCTTGGATTCACTTGTTGGGTGTGGATCTCTTTGCTGCAAGGTCTCTCTCTCTATTTCCCTCTGATATTTTGTGTGTGTTTATTTGTTTGTCGCACTTCTGATGCTTTTGATTTTGTTACACTTCCAGACAGGTTTTTCATGATGGGCTTGAAAATCAAATTGAAACTCGCCACTCTGTTTCTCTTTGCCTCCTTTTTTGTCCCATTGGAATTCTTACTCATGTCATCACCAAAGCAATGACAAAAAGCACTTGAAGTATTACTCATGACATGCCATAACAACTCATGCAGAAACAATAACATTGATGGATTCTTAAATTAGAGAAATGAAAGATCTTATGATTTCAAAAGAAATATTTTCTTCAACCATCATCGGAATCTTACATCTTTGTTGTTCCTTTACCAACATTATTTCATTTTATTTGCATTAAATGTTTCATCACATGTTACTTTGTCCCCGCTTGTATTCAAATGGTTACAGTATGGCTGATAATACACTACTTCTTCCTTAAGTCTAACCCCAAACTTCTGATCAATCTTGTCCTTAACCAAATCGATGAGATTAAGCATGTCTCGAGAAGTTGAGCTGCTGACATTTATGAAGAAGTTGGCATGAATTTTGGAAACCATTGCTCCCCCCAACCTAAAACCTTTTAACCCAGCTTTCTCTATCAATTCAGCTGCTGCAACTCCTATATCAGAGGGATTCCGAAACACTGAACCAGCTGTTCGGTCTCTCAGAGGTTGAGTCATCCTCCTACTGTATAATGAAACCACACATCATAAGCATTTCATAATTAACAGTCTTTCAAGAACGATCAAGTAAATATTATCTTCATAAATTACCTCTCCAAATATTCTTGTTGCTTTCTCGTAGCTGATCCCAACTTTTTCAGTCTAAATGTGACTGCAACAATGGCTGCTAAATCTTCCATATCTTGAAATGATGATGATCGATAGCCAAACTTGAGATCATTTCTGTCAAGTGTCCGGAGCTCTCCTTCAACTGTAACAATATCGACACTGTCAATGGCATCAGCAGATTCCTTCAAATACCAAACATACAACCCAATCAGTCAGCTAATCCAATAAAGAACTCAAACTATCTGAATCTTTACATACACAACCATAAGTACCTGCCCGTTCGCTCCAGCATTCATATAAGTAGCCCCACCCACTGTCCCAGGAATTCCTCCTGCAAACTCAAGACCTGTGAATCCTTCATTGGAACATTGCATCCCCAAACTATTAAATCGGAAACCACTTCCAGCTCTGTATATTCCAGGTTCTTTCCTCTCCAAGAAGTTGATTCGGTTCAGAATCACACAACCCTCGAAACCCATATCATCAAAGAGACAATTCGATCCTCTACCAATGATAATATATCTTATGGAATGCTCATGACAATACCTGCATATGCATTTATGTATTAATCAGAACCACTGTTAATTTAGGCTGCGAATTAAGACCATCTTTTACTTTTCACTAAAGTTTAAGACGGGCGTCATTTAACTTAATTATCGAATTTATAATCTGAATCAAAACACATACAAATTCGTATATTGATTTAGATACAGGAGTAACTTTTGTTCTTTGGTATAATTCAATTTCAAAAAGAGAAGATTTAATTTAACAGGACTTTAATATTATGTTCACTGACCGTTAATCCAAACATTTAAAGTGATAAAAATGAATCAATAATAACAACAACTTTTTAACATTTGCATTGTTCATATAAAAATCCACATTTGTTCACCACATAATAAATCAGACGAAAGATTCTGAAATGGTTAAGCAAGCAAAATAAAAAGTAAACAAAATGACTTAGCAAGAAAAAAATAAAAAAGTAAACAAAATGAGAAGCAAACCTGATGGCAGAGAGAAGTTGGGTTTGATCAAAAGCTTCGACAAAGTAATTACAGGGCCCACCAATACCCCAAGTACTGAGATCTTTTAGAAGTTTCTTTCCTCTAAAGATTTTCAGTCCATTCCACTTCTGGGTTTCTTCTTTTTTGTTCAACAAGTAAGTTTTTTCACTGCATTTTAAGGGTAAGAGAGTTGTTTTCCTTGACGGCCGCAGCAAAACTTGGGGATTGTGAGAGACAGGGAAGGACATGGAAGAGTCTTCGGGTTTTGAGTGCACGAAGTGGTTGTGTTTCGGGTTTTATCGGAGAAAAAGGATTTCTGTAACTTGATTTCAAATCGGTCTATGTTTTTTAGAAGGGATACTTACAATATCGTCCTTATGTTTGGTGTAAGTAATTTTAGTCTTATAGAAATTTTGTAGTAACTTTTTTGGTTCCTATCAGCAAGATTTATACTAATACTCTAATAGAGACCAAAATGTAACTAATAGGAATAAAACGTTACTAAAAAAAATTCAGTTCGATTCCCCTTGATTGGGTGGTCATGAGGCAATATGGACTCTTAGGTATATTATTCAGAAGGTTTTGAGTTTAATTCCTCTCAGTTGCTAATAAAAGTGGTCATGGGAGAGTTTACTCGGTTGTTAACTTCAGGGTATCGAGAGATTAGTTGAAGTACGTGTAAACTGACCCAGACACCCCCAATCACTAAAAAGAAAGTACTAAAAAAAATTCTACAAGACTAAAGATTCCTTAAACAAACCCCAAAACAAAATTGTAATTTTATCTTTTAAGGTAAGTTTAAGGCCTATGATTTTTCAAAAGTATTAGGGGGTTTTTAAGGGTAAATAAAAATCTCAAAAGGTAAATTAAATTTAAGGGGGTAAATAAAAATCTTTTCATAGATAGTGAGTGTATTTGATATTTCATTATCTCTCAAGGGTTAGAAAACAATGGTTTTTTTTTTTTTTCAAGTGTAAAGCTATATATATTTGTATATAAATTCAAATTCAAGGACTCAATTGATCTGACTGGATTTTTTTTATATTATTAATGAATATAAATAAATTAAATGTTACTTTCATATGTTTTAAGCCATTTTCAAAATGATTTCTCTAATTATACATTAATTCATTATAACAATAAGCTTATATAATAACTATACATTCAGATTAGTTGGTCATCCATAGTCTGGACTAAATAATCTCACTTTTATTAAAAGGTTAACAAGAACTCAGAATCAATTTCTAGTTGTATTTTGCAAAAGAGTTAATTACATAAAACCCTCTTGAGGTTTAACCTTTCATAGACAAATAGAAAAGATCATTAGGTTAACACAAACACTCCAGTCCTTTAACTTTCTTTAGGGCTCTATTAGGGTTATTTTCATTAAACACCGTCTAACATTAAAAATGAACAATTGACCTCTATAATTAGCTGCTTACACCTTTTGTCATCCATTTTTTGTGCTAAAGTTAATTGAGGGAAAGGGTAAAATAGACCTTCTATGTTAAAATACTTAATCACATATTAAGTATTTCAAAATAATAATAAAAAATATTTAGATTTAAAATATATATATATACACTTAAAATTTAATATTATTTTTAAAAGAATTTACTTTTAAAGAGGTGTAAGGCGATCAAAGATATCTAGAAACATCTTCTTAGATCGTTGGAACAAACAATCTTTTTTCTTAAAAGAAAAAAATTATTGAATTTTCAATTTACAAAAATATATAATTTTAAAAAGTATATTTTAATTTTTTTTAGTTTTTATATTTTTATTTTCAACTTTGTGTCCTCTAAATAATTTAACACCAAAATTTGAAGGTAGGAGGGTATAAATGACTACTTACACTCTTACAAGGGCCGAGTTGTTAATTTTGTTTTTTTGTTGAAGGGGGTGTCTTGGAAATAACTCTAACAAAACCTTAAATAGAAGTTAAAGGAGTGAAGTGTTTGTATTAACATAATAATCTTTTCCATATGCCTCTGAAATGTTAGAATCCGAGGGGAGGTCTATGTAATTAAGTTATTAACTCTTTGCAAAATTTCAGGTGAAGGACTAAAGCCTAGGAGTGCTTAACGAACCGAGCTGCTCGCAAGCCGGCTCGGCTCGGCTTGAGGTCAGCTCGTTAACGGCTCGGTTCGTGTGATAACGAGCTGACTCGACTTCGCTTGTGAGACAGAACGAGTTGAGTTCGAGCCAAGCACGGCTCGGCTCTTTAAGCTCGCAAGCCGCGCCTGGCTCGAAAAATCGAGGGCTTTTTTGACGTTTTCTGAAGTTATGGGATTGAATTAAATTATGCAACAAAGTTTTAAAAAATAACAAAATCGCCCCAAGTTATTAAAATCCCCAAATCGTCGATTTTCGTCGATAGAGCTAAAATTGTGTCGTAAAATTGAAACCCAAATCACGTTTTTCGTCGCTGTCATCAGGACAACATCCAGTCGGAATTTCGTCATCAGATTCTTCCACCGTGTTCTTCATCAGATTTCGTCGCATTTCTTAGTTCGTCGCGATTTGCTTGTAGTTTTCAGTTCACCGTGAAACGGATCTGCTACGCCATCGACCGTCGATTTGTCGAGGTAAGGTTTTTGTTTTCGCTTTCTCTATTCGTCGCGATCTGAGACTGTGATTGATTTTTGTGAAGGATGTTAATAAAATTTTAAGTTAGTTTTTCTTGAATTCTTTGTCTATAACAGGGGGCTTTTTTCGGTGAAACAATTCAGGGAAGAGCAATCTGCTGTGTTATGATCGTTGATCGTCGTGGTGTTGCTGTGAAACCCATACAAGAATCGTTGAGCCCTTGATCTGGTATCCTAGATTCCTGGTTAATGTTTGTGTATTGTCTGTGAAGAGCAATCTGCTGTGTAAATTGCCAGTCTGTTTCATTGTTTGTTTAAATTGCTTTACTGAATTTGTTATTGTTTGTGGTTGTGGGACAAAATTGAAATTGCAAAGGAGTTTGTGGTTGTGGTTGTGGTTGTGGTTATGGAGTTCTAGTTGTGGGAATTTGTTTTACAGTAAATATAAAAGGGCAATTTATAAATTTGTTTGTGGTTGTGGTTGTGCATTTGGTGGTGGGGACTGGGGGCTTTGTTATATATTAAATTTCAAAAGGGTAAAGGGCTATGATGCTTAAATTGCAAAAGGGTAAAGGGCAATGTAATGTAAAATGGCAAAAGGGTAAAGGGCATTGTAATTTAAAATGGCAAAAGCGTAAAGGGCAGTGTAATGTAAAATGGCAAAGGTGGGTCTAGTAATCATGTTAGTCCTCCTTATACTAAACAGAGTTGAGGAATTAAAATTGTTTAATGGTAAAGGGCAGTGAAAAGTAAAATTGCTGAATCTTTAATTTGGTAATATGCTAAATGTGTTTAAACTAAGAAAGTAGGGCGTCAGGGCCCCAGCTACATAAAGACAGGAGACTTTTGTTTGGGGTTTTGTTGGGATTTAGCTTGTAAATTAATTAAAGAAAAAAAAAAATGTATTGTTGAGAACACGTTAAAGAGTGAAGACTTTGCACAAGTAAACGTTTGTTTTATTAGTTGTGAAAAACCAAACAGAATCATAAGCTCTTTCTTACAGTTGTGTTGTGTGAATGATTAATGTTTGAATATCTCCCAAATCGTGTCTTGAAAGCTGTACTAATCATTGATTTATATATTTCATTTTATTTTTAATTCTAATTAATTAAAATGATAATATACTCCCCCATTCAACAAGTATAAAATTAAATATATTTGATTGGGTATGAAAGCTTAACATGAATGCATGGACTGAGTTGGGTACCGGTACCAGTACCAGTTAGATCCATGGGTTTTAATTTGTTTTAAAGTTGGATTATTATTGACTGAATTTGGTTCAACCCAACTTAACTTTATGGCCACAGGGATATGTGTGCAATGTAATAGTTTTATATTATTTCATATTGGTTTTGCATTAAATAGTTGATTTTTTTTTTTTTTTTCCATTTATAGGTTTGTAAATGGAGGGTAATTCCTCAAGTACCCCTACAATACAAGATACAATAACCAATACACCTGGCGGTAACCTTAACTTGAATGCAACCACAATAAATACGGAGCAAAGTATTAGTAGCCTGGATAATGGTGATGAAAATGAAAATCCAATTCAGAAGAAAAAAAGAGTGAAGACATCAGTGGTATGGACAGAGTTCAAAGAGGTGGTACTCCCTAATGGTACCAAAAAGACAGAATGTATCCATTGCAAAGTAAAGTTGTGTATTAATGCCACCGGAAGCACCACCCAGTTTAATAGACATTTAAGCCAGTGTTTAAGGAGAAAAACTTCCATGAGGCAACAACATATTAGTTTTTCGAGTGCCGATAATGATGTTGCAACTACTATTTTGCCAGCTTTAAGTGGGAAGTTTGACATGTTGAAAATGAGGGAATTGATCGCCCATTGGGTGCTTATGCATGAGCATCCATTTATAGTTGTGGAGGAAGAGGGTTTGAACAATATGATGAAGTATGGGATTCCTGGATGGACTCTGGTTTCCCGCCATACTTGTAAAAAAGATTGTATGAAGGTATATGAAAGTGAGAAGGCCAAATTGAAGACTTTGTTGAAGAGTGTGACAAAAATCAGTTTGACTACAAACTTATGGAATTCAGGGAATCAAAAGATGGAGTATATGGTGTTGATCGGACACTGGATAGATAATACTTGGAGGCTGAATAGACGTATCCTAAACTTTGTTCGTCTACCTCTTCCTTGGATTGGTATTGCGATTGCGGACGACATTTTCAATTGCCTAATGGGATGGGGAATTGAAAATAAGGTATATACTATTTCTGTGGATAATGCTTCAAGTAATGATGTTGCGATTAAGGTTTTGAAGGAAAAATTTTGAAGTTTCGGGGAAACTCCTTTGTAGAGGTAAACTGTTTCATGTGAGATGTTGTACACACATCTTGAACCTAAGTGTTCAAGATGGACTTTATCCAATTAGGCACATCATTGACGACATCCATGAGAGTGTGTTGTATATCAATAGTTTATAAAGTAGGCTTAAGGTATTTTCGGAGATTATTCAACAACTTAAATTGCCGTTTCGGAAACTTATTCTCCATTGTAAAATAAGGTGGAATTCTGCCTATGAAATGTTGGCAACGACAATTAAGTTCAAAAAGGTTTTTCCAAGATTGAAAGAGAGGGATATCAATTATCATAATAGTCAGGGTAACGAGGATTGGGAGAAAGTGGAGAAAGTCTGCGAAAATTTAAAAGTATTCAGTGGTTCAACCAAACCCATTTCAGGAAGTGATTATCTGACGTCTAATTTATTCTTGAAGGAGGTGTGTGTAATGAAATGTATGTTGGATAGTAAAAGTGAATCTGAAGATGATTTTATTAGAGTAATGATTAGGAAAATGAAAGAGAAGTTTGATAAGTATTGGGGGGAATGTAATGTGTTGATGTCTGTGGCTACTGTATTGGATCCTCGGTTGAAAATGAGGGTTATTCAGTGAGCATTCCCTAAGATGTATTATGAGGTAAAAGCGCGGGCAAATATGATGATGGTCCATGATGCATTGTATGAGTTATATAAGGAGTATGTTTAAGCTAATCAAGGTCTGACTATCGCTTGTGCTTCTACGTCACAAGGGGATGGACATGGAGCCATTGGTGAGGTCGCTGCGGTTGAGGGAGCCGAGGCCTAGGATGATTTTAGCAGTTTTCTGGACGTGGTTGAAAATGTTGAGCCGAGTAAGTCTGAGTTGGACTGTTATTTGGGAGAGGGATGTCATAAGTGTGTGGGGGATCATGACTCATTCGATGCCTTACAGTGGTGGAAGGCAAATTCAACCAAGTATCATATATTGTCTACGATGGCTTATAAGATACTAGCCATCCCGATCATTATAGTTGCTTCAGAGTCTGCATTCAGTGTTGGGTGCAGGGTTATTGATAGCTATCGAGCTTCTTTGTCACCAGCTACGATGGAGATGTTATTTGTGGATGTGACTGGTGTCACACTTTGAATGGAGTGAAGAAAGGGTGCAAAGTAACTTCCATTGATTATATGTTTTGTTTAATTCAATATTTAAAATTACTTTATTCTAACCTACAGATTATTTTTATCTTTTTTTCATTTTAGAAAGAGGAGGATAACTTGGAGATTCAGCTTCCTGTTCTGTCAGGTGATGAGAGTCAGCAGATTGGTTGATTCACCCGTGAGTTATTGGCTGTGGCAGTAGGATTCTACAGGTCTATATTTATTAGTTTTGTGTTCAGGTTTGTATTTTCATCTTTACGGTTTATATAAAATAACAATTGTACTTAATGTGTTTCACATTAATTTGTTTGTAGGAGTGGGGCTATAATGGACATACATCCAATTATCTTTTGTTGTTATATATTTTTTTTTATGGATAGGGATGTCACTTGATGTATAGTTATGTTAATCCCTCATTTTGTTTTGATGAAAACTTAATTAAGTAAAGTGAACTAAATAAAAAACCTTTATTTCACTTAACTTAATTTGTGATACATACAGTATGTTGACTGATAAATTATTAATAGCAGTAGCATTTCATTTAATGTTTATTTTAAGTAGGTTTAATTGTTGGGTGATATATGAGGACATGAGAAAAAAAATTACAATCTGTAGAATTTAAAAGTTGTTTGAGGATGGCGAAAAATTAAAATGAATTATGAAAATTTAACAAAAACCATCAGACATTCAGACCTGCGTGCTACCCAGAAAATTTAAAAAAAAAAAAACTAAATATTTTGGAGTTTGCTCGATAAGCCGGCTCGAAATATGCCTAAATCCTTCACAAGCCGAGCCACAAAATATTCGGCTCGGCTCAGCTCGATTATAAATCCTCTTTCACAAGCCGAGCTCGTTAAGCCGAAAACTCGGCTCGGCTCGGCTCGACTCGTTAACACCCCTATTAAAGCCATTCTTAACAAATGTACAGTGGCAATTAGTTTACCCTTTTTTTGTTGTTATATCTACTGGAGTCATGATTATACAGTAATAATATTTAAAAATTTGATGAAGATTTTTTCAAAAATTAAAAAAATAAATCTAACCTACAGTAAAATTACCTCCAAAACCTCTCACAAGTTTGACAAGAATCAACTATCAACAATAGATAACATATGGGAGAATTTTACAGTCTAATTTTCTCACAAGTCTCTTAATATTCCATGCCATATCATGGAAGGTTTCAACTATTAACCATTTGTTTGTAAGTTTCCTAGAGTCACCTATCATTTTCACATTAAAGAATTTAGCTGAGAGTTCCTGAATGAGCAGTGTAAATTACCCCATAACGTGGGGATGAAATCAACATCTCTGAAAGAAATGCTGTGAAACAAAATTGCTTGTGTGTTCGATATACTCCAAGCTGCAATTTTGCACAGAGAGAGCATGTCAGTCGGTAGAGAGGAGACTCAAATTCCAGCTGCCAATACATTTCATTTAACTTTCCCATGTGCTCCCCCTAGCCCCTCAGTTAGCATTAAAATTCATATTTTCAAATTCACAAAACTATCGCAAGAGAGAGACTGTAGAACAAATTCTGAAGGCAAAAACTTAAACATACTCTTAAGTCGGAAGCGAAGTCATCTGAAGGTCATCCTCTAAAATTCCATTAGATTGATCTGACTTTTGAAAGGAATCTTTCCTACTTCGTTCCAAAGATGTCGCCTCATAGATCCCTACAAAATTTATACACAATGATATGATAAATAACCCATATAAATTTAAAACATAAAAACTGAAGAAATATATATGATAACCACACATAAGTTTTCCCTCAAGTATAAACAAAATCATGTCAGATGCCAGCACCATCAAGAACGCAATTGTTCATATTACAATTACATTTTTTTTTTGGTAAAATGGGTAATGCTATGCGTACTAACGAATTTTACTAATTAGCGTACTAACTTTTGTTAAAATTACATATGGTACCCGTATTATGCGTATGGTACCCGTACTATGCTTTAGGTTAGTACGCATGGTATTATTGTGGTAAAATATTTGTTACTAAGTAATTGCATCGCTCTCACATTTTTCATATTATAAGTGAAGATTCATTTATTTACTATTCTATGTATTGATAAGAGGACAAAATTCATTGTGAAGATACAGAGATGGGAGATGGAGGACTTCTTCACAACCACTTCATCAAAGGAAAACAAAACATCCATGTCATAAGAAGGTATTTATTCACCATCTTGACCAACAATACTAGTTAGAGTAATGAGAAAGAAAAGCAGTAAGAGAATGGTAAGATTTTAGGATATGCCATTATTTCCACCTTCCACAATCAATAGTTTCCACAAAGCTGTTAAAAAGTTGCCATTTAAAATGAGTAACTTGATCATAACATCAATGAAAAACATATAGAGGCATATACAAATGCACCCTACATTAGTCAAGCCTTTTATACTACCAATCAAAGTTCATAATTGATGATCAACTTCATAAAAATATCCATTTAAATTTGAGATTTAGTAAGCCATAATTATTGATTATCAAGATGTACAACAGAAATCTTTTCCCATTTTCAGATCTAAGTAACTGAATCACCATCCTGGCCAAATAATGAATCATAAGAGTAGACCTTCCTGTTTAATTATCCATTAACTTGCGGCACATAAAGGAAAAATTATTAATTATTTTATTGACAATAAAATTAAAAAAAAAAAAAAAAAACAAAAACAAAAAAGAGTAGGTATATCCCTGTAACACTTTTTTTGCATGCCATTAAATTTGGAGTGCCAACTGTAAGCCTGCAAGTGCAGCTTGAGCACCATGCACATGCCAAGGCATAAAAGGCGAAATATTGGGAAAAATGAAGAAATTAAGATAACATGTACATACCAAAGCCCAATATTGAGGAGCAAATCATGAAGCCTAGCTGAGAGAAGTCCATTTTGTACACTATCTCCATGACAATAATGCATCCCCCAGCCACCATTAAATGCCTTGGAGACGAGAAAACCATGTGCAACCTAAAAACAGTAAAGGTTGTCTCAATCACTAAGAAAAACCCCATGAATATCCTATGATCACCGATCACAAGCACCTCCTAACTAAGAGTTTAAAAGTTGAAACTAAAAGCAGAAGCACCAATCTAAAAGATTTGAATCATGAATACATATCCCCCAAAAACTTTCATGATTCTTTAACTGAACATACATGAAAAGGGAAACAAAAAGATGCAAGAAACATAAGAAACTAATGCTAAGGAAGTCTGGTGTACTTAATAGGACTTATGTGTACTGCAAAAGACTCCTATATTACCAAGGTGGAGTCACATAATTATCACTCTTGCGCAATGAAATCCATGCTAAACCATACCATCATATAAATGTTAGCAATTGCTTTATTATAATGGAAGCTGAGGCAGCATAATATCCAATTTTAACCATTTTTTCATTGAAAAGTTTAGAGGCGACCATTGGTGTTTATCAGTGAACAAGCTGTACATGTAGCTGATTTTAACTGAAAACAAAGAACTGTTTCATTTGCACGGGCATGTATCATATAAGATAAAGTTTGACAAAGTGCAACTGCCTCTCATCTCAGATCACACCATAGCCAGCGAGGAAATTAAAACATGCAGTTGTGATTGCCAGTCATCATTAAGTTGCAAATGCCAGAGAAGATCTTTAGGGATAATCTTATAAGATACCTCTCCTCTGCAATACTGTCAACATAGAATATCAGGATAACCCCAAAGAGGGTAGCGCTCAGAAAAGCCCATGCAGAAAATGGCAACTCTACGCTGCTACTGGATGCTGACCCCTGAATTGCTCCAATGAAAACAGAAGTAAAAAGCAAATGTCCATTAAACCAGAGTCCGAGAAAGGTTAACAAACTTACATCCCTGAAACTTGTGTGTTTACTGAAATTACAGTTAGGATTGATTTGCATAACAATACTTACTATGATCAAGTCCCACATGGCCACAGGAAACAGAAAACATGTTGCAGCAGCTATAGTTATAGCATGAAGTCGCCTCTTGAGTTGATTCTGGAGCAGAAAATGGAACAATCAGATAATGCAACAGTAAATGAGTACGTCTGTGCACTTAGAAAAGAGAGAGAGAGGAAAAACTCAGAACTGATTTTTGTGCTCATAAATAATGCACAAGATAAAAACAAATAAAAAAATATATAAACCTTGAGTGAAACACGCCGTGCAAGCACCCTTCTCAATCCTGACAAGATTCCAGCAAAGATGGGAACTGCCATTTCTTTCATACCCAATACTTGTTCAGTCGGAACCTCTGTATCAAGGCTATCCTTGAATGGTATATTTAGGTTAAGTTTATCATAATAAACTTGAATAAGCCAACTATTCACACTTAATAAACTGAGAGAATTGAAGAGAAAGAGAAAGATTCAGAAGATAATAAAAGAAAAAAATAGACTCTATCAGCTCAATAAAATAGTCACCAAAAAAAAAAAAAAAAAAGTGTATGTGAGGATATAAAGTGGAGAAAAGGTTGCCATGGCCCAGCCTTGAGATAATAAGTAGTAAGATGCCAACATTGCAATAAGCCCACCAACCTGTTAACGGATGAGGAAGCATCAATATGATTAAGGAAGAAAAAAATATCTAAATATCAGTTCAATCACCCAAATGGTAATAAATTATTACAGTGATAGATTTCATGTTAATTTACACTACTACACTTTAAGTTCAAACTTGAACACCATATGCAACATACATGCATAGAACAAATGTCTTTCAGAGAACTACCTTTTTCCAGACATGGACTCTCCGTCCATATAATACTCCAGATAATACTCCAAGAACAGCACCAGAATACTCTCCCAATATAGCTCTAGAGACCAGAAAAAAAGGTCAAGACAAGAAATAATACATAATTCGCCTAATTAAAGCAAGAGAAAGGACCAGATGAACATTTTTGAGTTAAGTGATAGATGAATAAAGTCAACAAACAGATTCTTGAAAAAGAGGACAAATTGTGCAAACAACAGTTTCAAAAAGACGCCTCAGGTAATAACTCGACGTAGTGATGACCAAAGATAATTTTTTACTGCGAATTACAAAATTGTATGAAGTATCACTAAAGAGAGAAAATTGTACTCAGTCATCTTCAGACTCGAGAGAGTACATATAATTGACTTTTGGATCACCAAATATTTAGTACATCCACATTGTTCCAATGTTATGCAGTTTAATTTACATAAGATTTATACCAAGATATTATAGGATTCTCAAAATTGATCTAAGTCATGATACATTTGTCATTTGTTGCAGCATGTTCTCAACACTGAGTTGGCCAAGGCCACCGATACCAAAAATATAAGCACTGATCAAAACCTTAATTTAAATAACCAATTAAACACATTTCACCATATTTATTCCTTAAACGAGAGAGCATGCTAGTTAATACAGGCACTTGAAAGCTAAAGAGCTAGTTGCAATATACCTTAAGCAACAGAAAACCTACCTAACTGGTCCACATGCTTTGAGACCCTTTCCCCACAAAATGAAGTACAAAGCTGTTATGCCACCATTAATTACAGAAGGCACTACCTGAAAAGAAAAAAAACTGACAAATTTTACAAAAGAATATACAAGTCCACATCCTTTAGCATTAAACTGTCTCTTAAAATTCTACATAACTTCCAATAAATAAATAACCTGTGTATTTGAGAGTGGTCTTCCCTTCCAAGGCTTTTGCAACATCAAAAATAGGATGGATGAAGGCACCAGACAGCAGAAGATAAAAAGTGTTACTGACGCTCCCGTTTGAGACAAATAGCGATACATGGAGTAAACTGACCATATCCTCAAGAAGTTTCCGATAACATGGATTATTTGTAATGGTGTATGCCTAAAGGACCACAAGCACATCAGTAAACCACTAGCAGTTTCTAAGAACAAACATAGCCAACAACACTGAATGCACAAATTCAACAGAACAATAAACTAAAATTTTGTCATTACCATTCTCCCAATCAACAATTCTAACTAATTCAACATTTTAAAAGATAATTCCCCTTATTAGCACTTCTATATCAACTCAAAACTAAAATCATCTCAGTCAAACACCAAAACTAAGTTCATTTGGAAAAAGAGCTCAGTACACGTGCTGCACTGAAAGCTTGGTATTCATGCCCTTAGACTTCTATTCCCAGACGAGACTCATAATATGTAGTATGATCACCAACAGCACGAGTACTGGACAGAAGAGGCAGTACTGAAACTTTTTTCAAGCAGTAGTTGAAATGTCAACTATCTGCAAACAATTTTCACTTTTTACTAACGCATAAATCAAACAACACTACTCAGCTAACTCGAATTCCGAGTGAGGCCCCAGGTTGAACTTAACAATCTTTGAGAAGTAAAAGACCTGTGGCTTTTAGCCAGCTAACTCGAATTCCGAATGCCTAATCACTCAACTAACGCCTCAGAGTTTTATTCGTACGCACAATCTCACCAAATCAGAAAAACAGCATTACAATTTTCACTCAACTGAGACCTATATAGCAAAATTTCAAAATTCTATTTCCAATTCCATTCCCATATTTACTTAATAAGTTACTAACTGCAAGCTAAGTAAATAACAATCTGAGATTTTAACATTTTTGCTATATTTATCTTTTTTTCTTTTTCGCATCAGCCTAATTAAACAACTTTGCTAACAAAAACCTTTCTGTAGGGTACTTTTGTTCTTAGTTACGCCCTGTTTGTTTTCCAAGAAAATGCAGGAAAATAAAAGAAACTTAAATTAGGATTTTGATATTGCATGCTATTTGACTAACGTCTACAAAGTCAGCTGAACCTAAAAACAACCATAACTATTACATTCAAAATTTTCTTAACTGCATAAGGGTTTTCCAAAAACGCAGGCAATGAAGAACAAAACGACAAGAAAAATGAAAAATTTGAGATTCGATGTTATTACCTGAAATGAGGAGATCCTCGATCTTCAGATAGTGGCTTTGGCGACATCATTTTTAATTTATTTTTGTTAAAATAAATGACGAGATTTATATGTAAATGAAGACGACAATGTAAATAAGGAGATTAATTAGCGAATTAAAGATTTACATTTATTAATGCTGATAATAAATAAGTTGCTTCAGTGATAAACCAGCCGAGTTGAATCTCTCAAGGCAGAGAAAGAAACGCAGAGAGTTGTTTCAATTTGGGTTTGCTCGCTGAAAAAAGAAAAGCCCAATATCCTCATTGTTGGGCTCACCCAGGCCCAATTTATATGACCATTTTTGTTTTTTTTGTTTTGTTTTGTTTTTTTTTTTTTTTGGTTTCATAACATAAGGTTTTTTATTTTCATTTTTTGTTTCATTTAAAGGATAATTTTTTATTTTAATATTTTTCATTTCATGGAGATTTTTTTTTTCTATTTGAAAATAATGAATGTCACACCGTATATATTAACATTGGAATATGTAAAACTTATAATATTGGACAAACTATAAGATGAAAATTAAAAAAATAATAATTTAATATTCATCATAATATTATAACAACGTGCAATATAGTATAGAATATAAGTTTTTTGTATTATGAGAATACAAAACTAATAAAATATTTTCAATACCACTTGAGTTGTTGACAACAAAATAATCGTTTAATAACACATAATAGCATTATATATTTAATAAGTATTGCATCCAATATTATATAACAAACAAATAAATAGGTTCAATTTCTTAGGATTGTATAAATAGGTAGTGATAATTGGATTTAAGGTTTAGGTGGAGTGAGATAAGGATGAGGAAAAGAGAAATAAAAATGATTTGAAAATTAATTTGTAGAAAAGAAATAGAAAGGGTCGTTATGCATGTTAAGTGAAGAAACAGACATTTAATTTGTTAAATGAGGACAAATAGTGGATGATAAAACCCATCTCTTAATAAACGTTTTGATTCCTTTGTCTGTTTTGTTTAGTGGGCCTTATTCAATTTAATGCAAACTGGGTCAACCAGGCAACACTCTCCTTGTCCACTTGGGCTTGTCTTAGGCTTGTTTGATATGAAATTTAAATACGATATAATCTTTTGTTTTTGAAGGCCGAATGACTTCTTCCCATCTGAAGTTTACCCTAAAGATCATACCCAAAAAGTTTTAAAATGATAATTAACTACCAGCTGTTAAGATCTATTAGACAGTTTTCCACCCTATCGTTAAGATCTATAAGTAAACTCTGTTTAAAGAAGGATAGGATGGTAATTTTTCATGCAACCGAAAATGGCCGAAAGAAATGGTGGCCAGTGGTAGGGAAAATAGTAAGAAAAAAACCCAAACAATCAACAAAGAATCTGGTCGGACCTCCACCAGCTCCAAACTTGCCACCATAACCATAACTGAAAAAAAAATTGGCGTTCTCTCAACTCACTCTTCAATGCCGGTCGATTGTGCTGAATCCAGCTAAAACCAATGGAATCCATCGCCCCAAGCCCGTTTGCACAACCCTCTTACCTCATTGATCCTTTTTTTGGCCAGATTTGTCCCTTTTTGCGAATCTTCACAACCATACGCGCCCCTGTCTTTGGTCGATCTAGTTGAAATCCGGCATTGTTGGACTTCCTCGACCCTTCCACTAGCTTCCCTAACCTCCATTGACCAAAACCCCCAAAGTTTCCAAGCCTCTCCTTCCACTGTTTGCCAGCAATTGCAAAGTTAAGGTTTTGTTGTACTAAGCCAAATTCCGATGACAAATGGCAAACAAATTTCAACCAAACACCGCCATTCGAACCACTGACCTTCACTCTACAAAACCCCACCAACTATGACGCTTGGTAATCTGCCAGTCGAGACTCACCTCCTATCGCCACGATTGGGTTAATTTTTTTTCACCAATTTGGTTTCAATTTGATGATTTCTGAGAAAGCCATTTTTTTTCCAATGATGGTTCTAGTGGCGGGTTTGGAGTTGGTGGAGGTCCGGCCGGATTCGTTGTTGATTGATTCAGTTTTTTTCTTGATATTTTCCCTACCGCCAGCCACCATTTCTTCCAGCCATTTTTGGCTGCATGGAAAATTACAATCCTATCCTTCTTTAAACATAGTTTACTTATAGATCTTAAAGGTAGGGTGGGAAACTATCTAATAGATCTTAACGGTTGGTGGGTAATTGTCGTTTTAAAACTTTTTAGGTATGCAATTATCTTTAGGGCCCTGTTGGATGGGGTTAATATTATATAACTGGGGCAATGTTTTTTAAATTGAGCAGATGATGATGTTTGGTTGATTTGTAAAAAAATATTCTCGGAATCTTTTATGACAAACAGTGGCATTTTGGGGGGAGTTTGTCTGGAATATTATTACCTTGGGGGGCGGGGGGCTGTTATTAAAACTTACCCAAGATAATCCAATTTTGTGTCCCATATTGCCCCTAAATAGTTGAGCATTTGGTCCAAGTTAGCCTTATATTTGATAAGATGTACAAAACACCAATTCACTTATGTAGACCCTTTTGTCCTCACTTTTTTAATTTTCCAAACGACATTGCACTTGTTATTGTCATTATTTACAAAAAATGTCATTATACCTAGAACGGGGCACCACCACTAGTCGCCATCGACCACTACCGGAGGCTGTCGAAAGTCGTTATAATGGCATAACTACCTTAACACAAGAAAGGGGTTTATTTTTATTTATTTTTTGTTACAAATACAAAATAGAAGTGGATTCACTGAATTCTCCAAGGTCAGTGAACCCTTAGTGGCTTCGTTCCTACCCAGAGTTATCTAGTTTGTTGCAGTTAAGCATTCAATTACTTTGCAATAATTCAGCTTAACTAATGCTTGTGACACTCTATAATACTTAAGGTTGAAAATTTGAAGAACAAGTTCGGATTTGATGATGCTTTCAACTACAAAGAGGAGCAAGACTTGGAAGCAGCTTTGAAAAGGTAAGTTTCGTTACATATATATTGTATATACTCTTTGGGTTTCAGGATCAAGAAAGTTGGAAACTCAGAAACTTTCATTTTTCTTTTCTCCAGGTGCTTTCCTGAGGGCATTGACATTTACTTCGAAAATGTATGATTAAAAATGATAGACGCGGTGCTTCTAATTATGAGATTCCATGGTCTTATTGCGGAATGATCTCATAGTATAATCTTAGCCAGCCTGAAAGTGCACACAATTTGATGAACATTGTTTTTGAGCACATTCAAATGAAAGGATTTTTTATCACCGATTACTCTCCTGAATATGTAAAGTTTTTGGAGGTTGTGCTGCCTTTGATCCGAGAAGGGAAGATTGTTTATCTTGAAGACATTGCTGAAGGTCTTGAAAATGCTCCTGCAATTCTTCTTGTTCTATGTAGTGGACAATGTTGGGTTGTTTCCTGGGAGTAATGTTATTCAAGCCTTCTTTCAATTGTATTATCATTTTTCCACTCTTTAATTGTATTATATGTTTATTTAGATATATTATCTCTAAATTCATCTCACATTTATCGGGATTGGTGTCCCAATTTAAATAAAATTTTAAGTTAAAAGATCACGTACCATTTATTTCTTACTTACACATTGATAGTATAATCTATAGTTTGTAATTTTTAATTTGTTTCTTACTCACCCATTTATAGTATTTGAAAATTAACCAAAGTTGCTAAGATATTATCCGCTTTAGATTTTTGTTCTCGGGATTTTGCTTTTGAGATTCAACCCCAAATACGTTTTGACAGTTTAAAAACTCATATAATATCTAACAAACATTTTACTCTTTATTCCAAGTGCTATGAAATATCACACATGATATCTACCTAATTTGGTCTAGACTGTTATATATGTATTCTTGCATATACTAATATATTTCACCTTAATTTTTATCTATTCTTTTTCCTAATTAAAATAAGAAAATAAATCAAAACTTGAAGTATCAATCTTCCAAATGTAATATAGTAAAAATGGGCTGGCCTGGTAGTGTTGCCCTTTAATTGGGCCTTAAACATGGGCTTATAATCAGCTTTGTCTAAAGCCCATACTAGGTTTTAGAATCAATAGACTAATGAAGAGAGATTTGGTTTAAATTTGTAAAATAATGGTTTAAATTAATTATAAACATAAATTTAATAAATAATACAGAGAAAATGACAATAATATCCTTTGAGAATAAACAGTACAATAAAAAATAATATTAGAAGTTGGAAATTAGTTAAAACTACTTATTCTTTCAAAACCCAAAATAAAAATGAATTTGATCAATGAAAAGATAAAGATTAGTTAGAATTTGACTGGTATAATAAAAGATAATAATATTAACCTATGGACATTATTATGGCGGCTCATAATTATAATGAAATAACAAAATCCCTCTTATAGTCATTATCATTTATCAACCACCCACTTTCTCCAATGGCAGATTCCCATATGTACTTTACCCAAACAATTCTTATAAAAATCAATATTAAAGCATGACATTTATTATCATATTATGGCGCAATAATATTATATATATTTTAATTATATGGTGACGCTTTCATTCAATATGGGGTCCTAGACAATTTCCTTAGTTGCAGAGGGTTGAACCGGCTCTGTTTTCCACAAGCCAGGATGGTCATCATCAAATAGGAAAAGTAAACAAAAACCCAGGAATTCGTCAGTGCTGACTCGAATGACATGAATTTAAACAAGAATACAAAACAAAAACGACATAAAAAACTATATCATGCAACTATAAATACGCAATCAATACACAGAGGGACAAAAACAAAAAAAACATTATAGATTTGAGTAGTGAAAAATTAAAGCAAAGCAAAGAAAAACAAGCAATAATGGCAGGTGTTGGAGAAGTGATTGACAACAAGCAAGTGATATTGAAGCAACTCGTTAATGGAGCTCCGAAAGAATCTGACATGGCGGTGAATACAAGTTCTATATCTTTGAAAGTAGAGGAAGGCTCAAATGGTCTTGTTGTGAAGAATCTTTACTTGTCTGTTGAACCTTATGTGAAAATCCGCATGAAGAAGTTTGAACATCCTGATTTCTCTTCCTTCACGCCTGGCTCTGTAAGCATTACTTTAGTTCTGATATCATGTTAAGTAATTACAGGATTCGAAAACTTAAAAAGACATTTGATGAAGGGTTTTCTTTTGTTTTGTTTACTTTGTGTACATGAAAGCTTTCTAATTTAAGTTGATGGTGTAAAAATGTAGGCAATGGATGGGTTTGGAGTGGCAAAAGTTGTGGACTCAGGGCGTCCGGAATTTCAGAAAGGGGATCTAGTTTGGGGAATAGTTGGATGGGAAGAATACAGTGTGATTAAGAATCCTGAAAGCTTCTTCAAAATCCATCATGCTGATGTTCCTTTGTCCTACTATACTGGAATTCTTGGTGAGTTTTTCCCTCTGTTGATGATCTCAGGATTTTCTATCTGGAATAACTTGACAATTAAAGGGGAAACAAGTAATATGAATTGATAGCGAATTGTTTGTTCTTTTTGTTTCGTTTTGTTTTAGGTATGCCTGGAATGACTGCTTGGGTTGGTCTCCATAAAGTAGCTGCTCCTAAGAAAGGAGAATATGTCTACATTTCAGGAGCATCAGGCGCTGTTGGTCAGCTTGTTGGGCAATTTGCAAAGTTATTGGGCTGCTACGTTGTTGGCAGTGCCGGAAGTAAAGAAAAGGTGAGCCGATTTCTCCTGAAATACCTCATTGTTACATGTCACATTGCTTGTGAATAAGTCTGAGATTCAGTTTATAATGCTGTAGTCCCTGTTATCCATAATTAATCTTTTCTCTTACAAATACTTTTAGGTTGAAATTTTGAAGAACAAGTTGGGATTTGATGATGCTTTCAACTATAAGGAGGAGAAAGACTTGGATGCGGCTTTGAAAAGGTAAGTTTCAGGAACACAGGAGATAGAAGCAGGGGCCATTGCCCCCACAAACTGAAAAAATTGTAACAAGAAGGAAAATAACCAGAAACTTCCATTTTTTTTTTCCAGGTGCTTTCCTGAAGGCATTGACGTTTACTTCGAAAACGTGGGGGGAAAAATGCTCGATGCAGTGCTTCTAAACATGAGACTTAATGGTCGAATCGCGGTGTGTGGAATGAGCGCAGAGCACAATCTTGAAGAGCCTGAAGGCGTACAGAATTTGAGGATAATTATTCATAAGCGGATTCGTATGCAAGGATTTGTAGTCTTCGATTATTTTCCTCAATACTCAGAGTTTTTAGATGATGTGCTGCCTAAGATCCGAGAAGGGAAGATTGTTTATCTTGAACACATTACTGAAGGTCTTGAAAATGCTCCTGCTGCTCTTGCAGGTTCGGAAAATGTTTGGAAACAAGTAGTTTTAGTTTCCAGGGAGTGAAATAATTCAAGCCTTCTTTTAATTGTATTTTTTTTCCACTCTGTGTATTACATCCCATTTCTAATAATGATAATAATAATCTCATTGAGAATGTTCTTACACTAACTTAATGAATTTTCCATTACAGAAACAGATTAAACATAGTATAATCAAAACACATAAAGGTAGATTTGATTTTATCCGAATAGCAAATATATACGAGAATCTGACCAACACTAAGTTATGCCACCTAGATTTTTTTCCCCTTTTTTTTTTAAATGAACAAAAAAATCAGCACTTGAAGTACCGATCCTGCAAATATAATATAGTAAAACTGGGCTGGCCTGGTGGGATTGCCTCTCATTGGGCCTTCTAACTGGCAACTCCTCGTAATCATAAAGAACCGACCAGCTGAAGCATCATCTTGTAGCCCAATGGTTGTTTGGTGCAGCGAAAAATATTAATAGAATTTTTCTTATGTGTATTTTGCAATGAGGCCATAATCATAGAATAGTATTTTGCATGTGTACATGACAATATAAATATGAGGCCAAGTGAAATTGAAACACCAATATAACATTTTATTTGTTTAAATAAAAGAACAAATTAATCTCTTTCCGGTGATTATGAGACAAGCTTTAAATAAACATTTAAAAATAGAGTAATCTCACGAATTTTCTCTCACAACTTCGACGTGGCAACTCGTAATTGGTTAGCCGCAATCTATCAAATGGGACCTATTACGAGCTAACTAATTACAAGTTGTCACATTGAGGTTGTGCGCAGAGGTGGAAAAAATGGGTCGGGTTAGGTAGGCCAGCCCCAACCTGGCCTGGCTTAAGGGTAGGTCGGGCTTAGCCCAGTCCGAGTATTCCCAATCGGGCAGGTTGGACCTGCATAGGCAGGCCCGACGGGTTGTTATTTTTTTTTTTAAAACTCGTCGGGCTCGTCAGGTTGGCAATTGGCAGCCGACGGGCCAACTTGCCAGGTTGGCCATTGGGCTGCCAACCGCCAACTCGAAGGTTTGGCAACAAAAAAATAAAAAATTTAATTTTTTTTTTCAAAAACCCATTTTACCCTTCAAATATAGTCATTATATAGCAATTAGAGGGGTCTTTTTGGTCATTTTCTTTTCCCATTTTTCTCTATCTATAGGGCATAAACTTCTCATATTTCCTCACATCCAAAATTCTCTCATTTTCTTCAATTGCTTTATTTGCTCTTGCTTCTAAAAATCTCTCAAATCTCAGTTGTCCATTTGCTCTCATTTTAATTTTTATTACTTTTTGCAATTTTCAATTCATATTTCCAAATTCCAATTCTCCTTCTTTAATTCTTTTATATCCTTTTTTTTTATTTTTTATTTTTTTTATATATATAACTAGAATGGATAGATATTTCCATCCCACCATCAATTTTGATGATGAAGAAAATTGTCCTAGCCCCCCTGGATTTACTAACATAAACGTAGTAAATTCAAACAGTCCTGCTTTCCCATTCTTAGAATCTGATACACCTCATAATATTTTCCCCCTTCCTCCTCGTGTTGCTATAGCTCCCAGTGGTTCTAGAGGTCATTTTCGTAATCATCGTCCTCGTCCAACTCCATCTAAAGTAGAAGCAGGTTCATCAACTACAGCTATCATAACCGACGACAGGCATACATCAGACGTTTGGATGCATTTCGTAAAGTTTTAAGAGACAGAAAATGAGGTTCAAGTGAAGAAAGCAAGATGCATGTATTGTAGAAATATTTATAAAACTGATGCGAGTAATGATACTAGTACTTTAAAAAGGCATGGTGATAAACATATAAATCATCATGGAAATTATTATGCCTGAAAAATATAGGGCTGACGTAAGGTCCAGTCAGCGTGTAAAAGTCAGAGCATGGGTACACCTACAGCCGAGTCACATGAGGAAAGGGGCAGCCTGCTTTTGTCAGAACAGTAGGTGCGCGTCAGACCAGCCAGAAGCTGTGGTGATCCCATGTGTCCAATCCCTACTCCAAATCGCGTAAATCACTCTAAAAGGTAGGCAATGTGACATAAAGAAGGA